GGGGGGGGAAATAATAATAAATCTCCTCCCTGCCCTTCCTCTGTTTCCTACAAGTTCTCGTTTGCCTTTTGGTACACACCTTTATTTCCCTGTGCCCAGTCCCAGGAGCTCCTGCCCTGCCCTGCCGCTCTGCCTGGGGCTGCGTGCAGAGAGCGGCTCCCGCTGCCGAGCTCCCCACGCAGGGCCACACTGGCACCTCTCGTAGGGAATTTAATTCTGCTTTTTACAGGGAGTCAACGTCCGATTTCCCAATCGTATCCTGCCTCTTGCGCTTCTCCGGCGTGCCGATCCCACTCCCTGCAGCGCAGTCCCGCTGCAGGAATCCATAAGGGCAGGACAAGTGGTTACCAAACGGGCTCCGAGTCCAGACCAACTCCTCCTAGATGCTGATAGAGACAGAAAAAAGTGACCTTCACCTCCTGGCAGGGAAACAGCTTCTCTCTGGAGCAGGGCTGAACCTCACCAACGCAGGCAGCTGGGAACCGGGATACCTGGCTGACCCGTATCAGGGCTTTCCAGGCTCTCTTACTGGGGCTTTGAAAGTAAAGTGGGGAGGAATGAGCCATTCACAAGTGCAAGGCACAAGGAGCCCTTCCTGACTTTCTTTTTTGAGCTGTGAAGATGTGTGCGATGTCGACAGGCCGTAGGAAATATTCATCAGTGGCCTTCTGCTGTTCTCAGCAATCATTTGGGGGAGAGGGAAAGAAGGGGCTCTATTCGTCCTGAAAATATAAATAATCCCTGCAATATAGCCCCAAATGCTTTCTGTCTCTTTAAAAAGAAAGGCACGTGTAAGACGATTATCACTTTCAGGTGTGAGAAGGACCAGGCTGAGCACTCGTCCCTCACCCCCTGTCCCCTCAGCGATTCCCAGCTCTGCTCCTTGGCACCGCCGACTTCCAAGGAGGCACGGGGCATCTGGCTGGGGGGTCTCGGCCGTGGGCTGGAGCACCCCGGCAGGGCAGCTCCCGTCGTAAACGGAAGGTGTCAGTCTCCCAGGATTGCCAAACTGGTAGATTGAAAATAGCAACTAAAATAAAATTAGTGAAAGCCCCCAAACTGTGAAATTTCCATGGCAGGAGGAGTGAGCGAGTGCATGGGAGGACGGACAGACAGACAGACGGCCAACCGCAAACATCTAAGCTAAAGCACAAGCCCAGCATCCCGCAGGTTGGTTATTTTTCTGCTGCTCTCCTTGCACCGAGGAGTGTCTCCCAACCTGCCATCTCTTCTCGCTGTGGAGATCCAGGCTGTGCTCAAGGCATCGTTTTTCTCTTTGTGCTTGCAGTTCACGGCACGTTCTCTCCTTTGGTCCCCGAGCAGTACATGTAAGCCCTTTATCGTGCCAACCCTTAATGTCAGGATGTTTTTTATCCAATACCTCAGTTAGTTGCTTGATGTACCCATTAACCTAGTCTAAGAAATGACACTTAAAATTGCAATATGCTTCCTTTGGAGTAGATACTCTACCCTCTCTGGTCCTTTCAGCCTTTTCTTCTTTTCTTCCTCCTGCTATTAGAAAACTGAACTGTTCTCTCTTCAGTTACTCATCTTTTTCCCCCTCTAGTTCTTTTTCCTTGGTTTACCTTCAGCATGTTTCCCCACATCACTTTCTGCTGATTAAGTCCCTTGGTATGCTCGCTGTCGTACTAGGTCAAAACCCCGCGTTACACGGCGGAGCCATTAGGAGCTCTGGCTCCCTCTCTTTTTCAGCACCGTTCCACAGAAAAAAAAGAAAGAGCCCACTTATAAAACAGGTTTAGGCAGTAATGTTGAGGTGAAACAAGTTCCCTGTGAAAGGCTTTGTTTTTCAACTCTGAAATATTTTGTGAGAGCATTCCAGCTCTGCTGAAATGTTTGTGCTTGAACGAGAGGCAAAAATGTTTCCAGTAAGTTAATGTTTTTTCTTTTTTTAAAGAATAATTTCATTCAAACTCTCATTTTTTTAACCTGAAATGACTTATTTAATGGTGTCCTTTTCTTGGGTATGAAGATGTTTAAGAAAATTCCTTAATGAAATGAAAAAGGAGGGACACAGATTTTTTTGACTTTTGCCTATTAAACAAATATTTCAGGTTGATTAAAGACATACTTGTCATAGGATTTTTTTTTTTTTAAACTTCCACAAAAAGCACAAAATAATGAGTTCACACAGGTTTATCCACAACATGCTGTTGGAAAACTCCTGGGGATTTAGCATTTTAAAAAGCAGGTAGGAAAATCCCTGATTTCTGGCACGTGAAATCAGTAAAACGTACATCGCTGGTACAACACCTTTACCGTGCGCAAAGTGTTCTTGTTCTTCCACGTTGGTTCAAAACTCTTTTCCCCATTCTTTTCATCTTCACTGGAGAGTAGTTTATTTAAGTACTGAATTTTCCCATGTGTTTGCTGCAGCACGTGCTTCTGGCATGTGTTCGAATCCACTAATTGAGAAGAAAAAAAGAAAATTACACCAGAGCCTTTATTAAGGGAAGGTGTAATTAACGACTTCAGATTAATTGAAAATGTTTGCTCTCAAAGTAGCGGTTGAGCTCCGTTCCGATTAACAGCTCTCTCGCAGACTTTGTAACCTCGCAGAACGTGCTGTTCGGCAGGCGCTGGCGGGGGGAAAGACCAGCTAATATCTCTGCAGAACTTTTGTACAAGAAACTTGTCATTTCCCCATTCAAAAATGTTCTGTGGCGCTATAATCACATTGCAAAAAAAAAGTTCCTTGGGATTCTTTAATTTAAAAAGAAAATCATAGTTCCTCAAGGGCTGAGGACTCTAAAGTGGAATAGGTCAATACTAGAAATTGAATTCTGAGTGAATAGTTGCTATTTTATATTAACCAAATGACTTAAGATAGCTGTCAAAGAAACATGTTTCCCATAATTTCTTTTTCCAGTTTAGTGAAAAATTTCCCTCCTGTCATGCTGGACATAGAACAGTCAGAATTGCGAGCACTGAAAGAAAAAGACAGTCTTTTATTAAATATTTCTTTAGAAGACCTGGACTTAGGCCCTGTCACATTATTGGCCTTTGTTAAGCTAACATTCTTTCAAAGAGTAGGGCTTACTTTTTAATCAGTTCAAATGATTAAAACCTGTTTATATTAGCATATATTGACCTTCCTTTTCATTTGTATTGCCTTAAGTAATCTTGGGAGAACACATTCCTAATCCTTTCCCTCCCACACATTTACTCTTATGGTCTTTCTTGGGTCCATCTACAGTGTTTAGCAAGTGGGAGCTTAAAGGCTCTTGTCGGTGAGGCTGGTGAATCCTGCCTGGCTGGCTGAGCCCGCCCTTAGCGCAGGGTTCGGATCTGGACCTGCCTGCGCGGTGAAGGGCTTGGCCAACTCCGCACCACGCTGCTCCCCGTAACTTCTCTCCGGCTTCCAGCCCGAATTCAGGCCTCTGACTTTTGCAGCGCTGTCTTTTGGCTGAGCCCTGGCGGATAAGTCAGCCGAGCTCCTCAGCAGAAGGTCCAGAGGTGCGTCAGTGAAGGAGCGGGTGGGATTTGCACGCGTGGGTACGTGGGGCGGGCCAGGCAGCCCCAGAGCGCTCCATTGATGCTCTCCTGCACGGAACCGCTCAACTTCCTCTCCCTGTGCTGCTTCTGCTCAAACGTTGCTTCTAGGCTAGCGGAGGAAGGAAACCCGTCATCAAAACACTACGTTTCAATTCTATTCACTTTTTAAAGAATTTACTCTGCAGGAGACACTCAATGGCTTTTGATTTTCCCTTTTGCCTCTATTTGGAGGAGAGGGAATCTCAAAATATGAAGAGTCCACCTTCCAGCCCTGGCTCCTCAGAACTTTTAATCTCTGCCTAAATTTCTATATGTTTTTGTGTCATAACAGAAGTCACCGTGTATAGGTGGGGAAACTGAGGTACAGTTTCTCTGCAGCTGCTGAATAATTTTTATCAGAGCCGGGGTTCGGTTTCAGGAACGCCTTACTGTGAATTCCTTCTTCTCATCGCTAGACTCTTTCCTCCAGTACAGATAGCAAAGGCGAAGTTTAAAATGCTGTTTATCTTTACAGGAATCTTGTACATTAACCTGCAGGTGCCTTTGTGCTTTCATCCAATATGCACATATTCATGCTGGAGTTTGAAGACACATGTTAAAGATTGCTGCTGTGCATAAAAATATTGCTGTGAAAATTGAGCATTGTATTTGTAATTCCTCAGGCAAACTTTGTTGCCTTTGGTATGAAATTTGGGTGTTCGGATAGATCCAGTGTATGGTAATAAATCATAATTTCAGCATTCATGGCTCAGTGATTTCAGGAAGTCACTAGAACATAAATATCAGTTCAGGAAAAGCAAACAAACAGCTTCTACTTTTTTGTCTTTTCACGAGCTGCCATAAGGAAGCAAAGCTTCATTATTGTTTCTTTCAGTTCTCAGCATAAAAGGAAGTAACACTTAATAAAAGCCATTGGCTGCAAGATTTCATAAGAGAGAGAGAAGCAGAGAGAAAGAACGAGAACCGAGCTGTGGAAAAGCAGGTGTGATTCATGAATAAACTATAGTTTGCAACCTTATGGGATACTGATGAAACAAATAGAATTTTCACAGACATGGATAATACAAGAACACAAGACACTTTTTCACAGGTAAAGGCAGAAACTGTTACGGCTTGCGTGAAAGGGCTATTCGTTGTGCGTAGCTGAAGAGATGGCATATCAGAAACTGGAAATGACTTTGTATTTTGTGGCAAGGAATTTGCAGTAGATGATTGTTTAATGTAATTGATTATTATGTGATATGAGCTCAGGCTGGTCTGATATATCAGAAACTGTTTGCAGAGGATGCCTATGAAGCAATGTTTTTCTGTGCTTTATTCTTGAGAAAGTTGAAATGTGTGAGGTTTTCCTGATACAAAGAAAGGGACCAAGAGAGAAAATCAGTCTTGCCATGTTAGAGAGGATTTATTAATAGTATATGTTATCTGCGTTAAAAATTTCCATAAGGTAATTGGAGTGGGAAAAAAGTGGTTTATATTATAAGCAAATACAGTCTTTTGATAATCATACCGGAATTTGAAGTGATTGATATGCCCGAATTGAATGTACATCAGCTTGCAGCACTATTGAATTTGTCTGAGAGTGCCTGCTGGATACACAGTCGTCGTAGCATTCTGCTCGTTTCCATACTTGCGTGTTTGGGAGTCTGTTATCTGGAGAATAAAGCAGTGGAAAACTCCCCTCTAAGCAGAACAGCTGACAGCACGTATTGGTGGAGGTTCCCTGGTGTGTGACCTGGAGTGAGGAGCGATTAGGAGAAAGAATGATTGCGTTAGGTGTAGGCTGAGAAGGTGTGGTGGAGCGGTCCGAGTTAGCCCTGGGTAGCCACCGAGGGCGGCTTGGCTAGTAATTACTGCGTGCTTTGAGCAGAACGCGAGAGCTGGGCAGAATCCAGTCCCATTTGCGTGATTCCCCTTTTTCACCGAGAAGTATGAGATGTTCACTGGAATGACTTTCTAGGCAAGGCTCTAGACAAACTGTGCTGATTTTGGCCGGGATGGAGTTAATTTTCAGCCGGTACAGGGCTGTGCTTTGGCTTTGTGCTGGAAACGGTGCTGCTGTCACAGGGACGTTATCGTCTGCACAGAGCCAAGGCCTTTCTGCTCCTCACCACCCCGGCGAGTAGCTGGGGGTGCACACGGGGTCGGAGGGGACACGGCCGGGAGAGCTGACCCCAGTGACCCAAGGGATATCCCATACCGTGTGACGTCATGCTCGGCTGGGGGGAAGAAGGAGGGGAGGAGGTGTTGGGAGTGATGGCGCTTGTCTTCCCAAGTCACCGTTACGCGTGATGGAGCCCTGCTGTCCTGGGGATGGCTGAACTCCTGCCTGCCGTGGGGAGTGGGGAAGGAATTCCTGGGTTTGCTTTGCTTGCGTGCGCGGCTTTTGCTTTACCTGTTAAAGTGTCTTTATCTCAGCCCAGGAGTTTTCTCACTGTTACCCTTCCGATTCTCCCCCCATCCCGCCGGGGGATGTGAGTGAGCGGCTGCGTGGGGCTTGGTTGCCGGCTGGGGTTAAACCACGGCAACAAACCCAGAACAATTTCATAAACCAGGGTGAAACTTTCGTATTGCTGTTTGGTTTGTTAAAGAGGAAAAGGGCACTGGACAGATCTTTGGTTACCTCCATACACCATCCTCCTCCTCGGCCTTTGAAGCTCTTGTGGAGGGCAGTGTAACGGGGATCCAAAGGCACAGTCATTCAGCTTGACAGATACTAATTGCTTCACCTGAAGTAACAGCACCTGAAGCATAATAAAATTGCCGGTCCCATCTGGCACTATTCAGCGTAAGGACATGCTGAGGTGCTGGGATCTATTTGGAGAAGCTGTTGATGACAGCGGTGTCGAGAAGGCACAAATCCTGCCTGGAAGTTTTCCCCTTTCTCTGCTGTCTGCAGCTCGTGTGTTTATTGCTGGGCACTGACGCACCAGCCTGAGCTGCAGCTGATGAATCATTGCTCTTACTTCTTACTTCAGGTACTGCCGGGGAGGTCAGGGGCAGCACAGATGTGGAAATAACCAAATGTTTGCTACCAGAAAGGGCTTATATGAATGAGAATCAGAAAACAGGAAACCGTAACCAGATGGTGCCACTTTTCCCTTTCTTTCCCTCCCCAAGGCCTGCAATAAAACATACGCACAAAGCTGAGGTTCTACAATCACCAAAATATTTGCAAAACTAAACAGCACCTGAGAAAAATGTGTGTGTTAAACTTTTTGTGAACTCCTTTTAAAACTTGACTATATGTCTTCCTGAGGCTTTTCATCTAAGTCTTCTGAGAGCGGATAAGATCATGGTGCAAGGTGGAATGGTTCTCAGCCCTTGTGCTTTTCCACCCTGCTATACTTTAATCAATGACTTTTAAGTACTTCATCCCCATGGCTTTCCCATACAATTTTCATTAGACATTTTGTTAAAGGCCACCTCTCTTAGGTGACGATTTTATCTCCCCCCCCCCAGTCTCTTCCAAGGTAGCTTAAAGCAGATTTCCACTGTATATTTACCAAGGGATCAATTCCATTTAAATACGGCCAAATGATTCCATATCTTCTGATATGTATATTCATGAACATGTACTCACCCTCAGGAGCGGCTCTTGTAGCCTCCGAGATGGGCTATTGTTGTTGGGCTACAAATCAGAGATCTGATGTTCTGCTGATCTACTGGGGCTTCCAGCGCCTTGGCCGTACATATTGGGTGGTCAGCCCCGCACAGGCGTGGATCAGACCAGCCTGTTCCTTGCAGTTAACATCAAATGTCAACCAGTGCAGAGGGCTTGTGAGACAGTTCAGCTTTCTTGGTCCTGCTGGTGTTTTGGACCTGGGTGTCTGTGGGTTCTGCAGAACTGCTGGATGAGATGTGCTATATAGATATATGTGCTGGATGAGTTGTGCTATATATCATCTATATCTAGATCTGCTGGATGAGATGTGCTATTACCTTGGTACTGCACCTATACTTAAAGCCAGAATCACTGCTCAGCAGACTAAAGCATCAATACGGAAACAGCCTTTGTGGGAATCAGAGCTCCCTTTTCCTTGATCCATCTAAAAACACCTCAAAGCTTGGGATTTCAAGGGATTTCAGCTCCTGCTGCTGAGCTGGTTGGAGATCCATCTGTCTTGTTTCATTCTCAATATTGTCCGAGTTCCTGAAACTGGGAGCACAATGAATATCACCAAGCCTCTTTTTGAAGGGAAATGATTTCCCGAGTTTAAGGACTTAAAGACTCAGCATAAATAGATGTCCAACTAACTGATCCTGAGGAAGTTGATCTTGTTGGGAAAATGTGGTGGACTTTTGTAGAGAAGTATTAAGAACATAGGAAAAACATGTATACAGACAACGATTATGGTCTGCTGAATCTGTCAGAGTTTAGGAGGAGAGTGGCAAGGAGAAATAGCCCCTTTTTAAGTAAATATTTTGCTAAAATGATTTAACAAACCAGAATTCTGGGGTGGTGGTGGGGGAAAGTTAGGTCAGAAATGATACATCAGCAGATGGATGCTCATTGGGGTTTTTTCTTAAGCTCTCAGACCATGTTTTGGTTAGAACATAATGAAGAGTTTGTTCTTTAAATGTTCCAGCTAATTAATGTAAAATTAATGGAGACCCTGGATTCTCTGTTAAACATGCGTGAAATCAGTGTTGCATTCTCTATATTGCGTTTCGTACTTTTTGCTTAGCAGGTGTTAACTAATACGATCTAATAAACCTCAAGTATAATGAAATGAGTCTTGTTCAGCATTTAATAGTTTTAGCAGTCCAATTCTTGCTTGATATGTATCTTTCTTTTACAAGACGTTAGGGCACAAGATGAGATTGTAAGCCTGTGAATAGAAAGATGTGTGCTTTTCTCCAAAATAATTAGATGTCACTGTTAAATAGCCTGGTAATCTTTGTTTCTTCGCAAGATTAATTGGACCATCACATTAATAAGCAAATATGATAATCCTCGATAGTTCTTATCACTGTGGATTACTTTAATTACTGTAACTAAAGGCATAGAACATTATTATTTTAGTAACAAACTCAAATACTTCTGTATGAACCACCTTCTTTATTCTATTTCAGTCCATTTTGTAGTATAGCATTTAAATTATACCTCAACACAGCAAGAAATTGCTAGGTAAATTCACACTTAAGTATTGTTTTGAAATCAAGTGCCGTTTAATATATCCAGGACATATACTGCGTGTTTCTGGCAGGGCACGGAAATCAATGGGAGTTTTACTCTCGTACTGAACGTGCCTAGTGTCAACCTATCCCCAAATGCTTTTGAAAATCTTCCCGTAGTAGCTACGTCGGAGGCAAACTGCCTCTACTAGGTAATTCATATTGCACCCACTTAATTCATTTCAACTGACAACAATGTTCAGTGAAAAATAAGTCTCTTATCACATAAAAATCTTTTTTTTTTTAAAGAAAGGATTCACTTTATTGACATTTTTAATGTAGTTGGTGGAGGCTAACGTTTGGAGGAAAACAATGTGACAATGGAAGAGGGTGTAAACCTCATTTAATAATGACACCAAAAGAAAAAAAAAGAAAACTGAACATGTTGGCCATTCATTACACAAAGCGTTTGTGCAAGCTGGAAACCAGTTCATACTGGGAACTCCTGCATTTCTGTTGTGGTGCCTGCCTCCAGCCTTTGTAACATAAAGCTTGCCATATATGTTTTCCCTGCCCATTCACTGTAGCATTCTAATCAGGTGTACTTCCAGCATGAATGGGGCAGTTGGCATTTTAATCCTTGCAATCTATAGGAGAAATGGAGAGGGTTCACTGTACGGTGCGTACACTGCGGTGTCTCTCTGTCCATACACACGTATACAGGAATCACGGTGGGTCAGTGTATGGCTGCAGCCACACAGAACTTCACCTGTGCACTTTGCAGGCATAGAAGACTTACTGTCATACTTAAAATTCTGCATCCTCAATTGCCGTTTTGAGTACTACCTGCAAAGATATTTTGGTAGATATTTGAAGATAATCACTAGAAGATAATTGAACCAAAATGCCATGTTAAGATTACTTAATATTGCACCTGCTTAACATGAGCTAAGTAAAGCAGTAAAATCACAG